GTCCTACAAACCTCCAACATCTGATCTCTTCAGGTCCTACAAACCTCTAACAACTGGCTTCTTCTCACGCCAACACATTCAAAATTAGCTTATTTCTCCTCCCATATTGTACATTTTGTTAGTTTAAACATTTATATTTTTACCAGTCTGTTGTAAAACACCTGCCCCCACCCTCATTTGTCCCACTCTGGGCCCTTGAGCAAGGCCTTTAACCCCCACCATCTGCTCCTCCGGGTAGATAGCAGCTCTCTGCTCCACACAGAGGGCTGTGGTAGCTCGGTGGTCCGTGGTTGCGTCAGGAAGTGCATCCAGTGTAAAAATAACTGCCACGTCTTTGTGCGACTTAGTTTGCTGTGGCGACCCCCAACGCAGGGAGCAGCCGAAAGAAAAAGAAAGAAAAAAAACAACAACTAGTCTGTTGTAAAAAAAAAAAATGTCTTAAGGATTTGCATATTATTGTTTTTGGTTTTTATAATTTCACTCAAAGTTCTGACTTTTTCAGAGATGGAGTTGCTTCTTTCAGATCTTCTCGGCCTCGGTGTCAGTCTGTTGAACAGCAGATAGGACTCTGTCAGTGTGTTTACATAGAGAGCCGACTGTTTGAGGAGCCTCAGGTTCATTTTCCAAGGGTCATTTTTATTTCAGCAGTCAGTCGCAAACCCAACAAACTCCACAATGAACACATATCTCCTGCTTGGCTTGCTGCTGGGATTCTTTTCTCTACCTGGAGTCTTGCTGGTGGATTTAGTTTTCCGATGTCCAAGTTGCACGGCAGAGGATCTTTATCTGTGTCCCAACGTGACCCCAGGATGTATGGAGGTGGTGAGGGAGCCTGGCTGTGGCTGCTGCCCAGTGTGCGCCAGGCTGGAGGGGGAGCCCTGTGGGGTCTACACCCCGAGGTGCGCCACTGGCCTCAGGTGCTACCCCGGCGTGGACGCTGACTTTCCTCTACAGGAGCTCCTCCATGGTACAGGCCGGTGCAGACAGAGGTTAGACCTGGATGTCACAACCAATGGAAACTGGCAGCCAATGTATGGTAAGAAGTTTTTATTAAAGACTCAAAAACAAAACCCACACTCATATAGTTTTATACTAAAGAAAAATGTGCATCCACTAGAAGAATAATCTCTACCGGATGCATGCTTACATGTTGGAGCAGCACCTTTGTTGTGGTTTTATATCACTGGATGCTGCTAGCATCTAAACTTAATGAGCTGTGTAGGGAAATGCTGCACTGTTGAAACAAACAAGAGTGTAGACATTTCACCGTGGCCAAAAATACAACTAGAAATGTTTCTGTGTAAAGCCACCAAAGATACATAATGTACTTTTTTTATGTTAACGAATTAAAGGAACAGACTATAACAATGTTTAACTAAAGTATCATTTGAAAGCTTTACACAACCGGCTAAACTAACTGTTTCTACCAAACAAGGTTACATAACTAAAACAATAAAATGAAAATGTACTTTTATTGCATTTTTTTTGTTTCAAGTTCAAATTTATTGTCATTCGCATCACATGTGGTACATGAGGTGGAACAAAATTATGCACTCAGGATCGCATTACACCCAAAAATAGCAACAATATAAAGTATAAAAAGAAACGGTATGTAAGAATCTAAGATACTGTATATGCTAAATGAACGCTAAATGATACGCTAAAAGATCTAAGATAACATGCCCCCCGGGCGCTTTCAATAGCTGCCCACTGCACCACCTGTTGGTGGATGGGTTAAATGCAGAGACTAATTTCGCCATTGTATGGAAACATACAGTGCTGACATTGTGATGACATTATTATTATTATTATATATGCTAAACACTAATAATGTAAAACAACACAGCATATCAACAGCAGCCTGAACATGAGTCTATGGTGAGCAGATAGTTTGAATGAGTACAGCAGCATGAGATAATCAGCAGTACGGATAGTTTGGTAGAACCCATGTGCAGGCAGAGGCGGAAAGCTCGGGGGTAAAATAAATAAACCAATTTATTAAACGAAAGCAAAAGGCTGACGAGGCAGCAAAACTTGCATAATCATCAGGGAGGCAGAAACTGGACGCCATACAGGACAATGCACAGACAATGAGGAACACAGAGGCATGGACTTGTTTATAGACGCTAACAAACAGACAATGACAAACACCTGGGGAGAAGAGAATCAGAAACAGGTGGGAGTGGCAGGAGCTGGAGCAGAACACAAGAGGGAGACACACTAGGGCAGGGGTTCCCAACCCTGGTCCTTGAGGAACACCATCCTGCATGTTTTAGTTGTTTCTCTGCTCTGACACACCTGATTTTAATTAATGGGTGATTAACAGGCTTCTGCAGAACATGAGGAAGTAATCACACCACTGAATCAGGTGTGTTGGAGCAGGGAAGCAACTAAAACATGCTGGATGGCGTTCCTCAAGGACCAGGGTTTGGAACCACTTCACTATAGGGAACATAAATCCTGACAAGTCTTTAACTTTTTAAACAAAAATCTAACTCTCGGTTACTACCACGCTGCATTTTACCTCACTATCTGTAAAATGTATTGAGTTGTTGCTACGTTTGTGTTAGTTAAGGTTGATTAGCTGCTGCCATCTTAAATCAGGTTGACTCAGGAATGGCGCGCTGACTTTGGTAGCGGTACACAACGTCATAAAAACCAAACCTGCAGAAACTTTGCAAATTGTCCACATAGACAACAACGGGATTTTGATGAAAACTAACAATAAAAGTCAGCCCTTTTTAGAGAATTATATTTTAAATATGCTTCACAGTGAAACATCATTCAAAGTTTAAACAAGTCACAGAAAGTTGGACTTTACAAGACTGCACTGGTGTTTTGACAACTTTAATGGTTTTAAGACCAAACCATTAAACCATAAATTTTCATTCTTCTTCCACTTTTGGCTACTCACTTCGTCAGGGGTCGCCACATCGAACTAAGTTGCACGAAGACTTGACAATTGTTTTGTTTATTTCATTCATTCATACAGGTTAATCCCATAGAGCGTCAGGGACTCATTAACAAGAGAGACCTGGGTTTTGAAATAAAGATTGACGACAACAGTGGACAACAATGACAACAATAGACAATCATTAAGGATGCGTACAAATTGAGAGTAACAAGTGAAAATAAAATGATATTTAAAAGATGTAACAATTGGCAATTGTTTTGATGCCAGATGCCCTGACGCAACCACAGACCACCGAGCTACCACAGCCCTCTGTGTGGAGCAGGGAGCTGCTACCTAGGGTGCCTGGAGGTGCACACGGTGGGGGTTAGGGACCTTGCTCAAGGGCCCAGAGTGGGGCAAATGAGGATGGAAACTGGTGTTTGTGCTTCACCTATCTCACTCACATTTTGATGTTGTCGGTACCAGGAGTTGAACCAGCAACCTTCCGATCACCGGCTCACCTTCTCTAACCTCTGCGCCACAACTCCCCTTATATATACTTGAGCTGTCTACAATTTTCATATATTTTGCTAAATAGCTTGTTCTTACCCTTCCAACTTTTAAAGAATTAAAAAATGTTTACACCAAAATGTAAAGATGGTGATGTACATATGTATCGGTATATGTGACTTATCTGTGCTGCTGATTATCCATGCTGCTGATCTCTTGCCTTTATGCTGCTATATTCATACCCATCTGCTCACTACAGACTCATGTTCAGGCTGCTGTTTAATATACTGTATTATTTTACATTATTAGTGTTTAGTGTATATCTTAGATCCTTGTAAACTGTTTCTTTTAATACTTTATATTTTTCTATTTTGGGGTGTAATTGGGACCTTGACTACACATTTTTGTTCCACCTCATGTACCACATGTGATACGAATGACAATAAAGAACCTTGAACCTAGAGTTTTCATTTCTTTTGATCTTGGTTCTTTTTATATGCAGTTTATGTGACATAATTTAGCTGCTTTTTCCGAAGCTGAGAACTCACTTCACCATCTTTTGACCGATTTTACCCACAGTTCTCAGTTGAGTCTGCACCCCTCTTCCATAAATGGGAACATTCTGCAGGACACAAAAATATTTTAGTTTCTTCAGAGAATTTACATGAATCGACCTCGGCATCAGTCACTCAAACATGTTTGAGTTTTTGGAACAGAATCTGGACACAGTCAGGTAGTCTGGTCACAGACCCAACAACAAACACGTTTCTCCAACAGCCAATGAAATAAAGAGGGAGGGACGGCAGAGGAACATCAGGAGGAATCCGACTGTTGCCCTGGTGAGAGTTTGATGTGTTCATAGTTGATCCAACTCTTCTAGTAAAGTGTCTGCAGGTTGTGTCCCCAGCTTTAGTTTGGATCTACAAAGCTGATGTTGGAAATTCAGGAAGTACGTATTGGCACCTTCAAAAGTTCATGAGAAAGTTTCTAGTTCAAATTAATTTTTTGTTTTTACAGCATTAGATTTCATTTATCTGTCTTTGTAGTTGTTTGGTGTCATTTTGAGTTTATATATTTGTATTTGCAGTAGCACAACAACCTCAGATGCTCAGCTCTACATTTTCATATTCACAACTACAAAGTAAAAATCCAACAAAGTTAAGTCAGGTCATCTGGACGGTTTATTTTTTTGTTGAGACGTTTAGTCCGAGGAGCCACAGCAAACTCAATCAACCAGTTTGCTGATGATAAGATGGTTTCTTTGATGTTTTGAACCACTTTGGCTATGGCTGCCTCAGAGGAGGCGACGGGGGAGAGGGCAGGCCCCAGAAACCATCTTATCACCAGCAAACTGGTTGGTCGATTGATTGGTCCACTATTAACCCTTTTCCACAGTTTCTCCTTGGCCCTGCTTTACCCTGCTCAGGCCGGTTCCGTGCTCTTATCCACAGGGCCATCTTCGTGGAACCGGCCTGTTTTTTCAGTACCTACTTCTCTGCGGTTCCATTGAGACCAAGCAGGACCCTAAAACGTGACATCAACGCACTGTCGGTTACTGATTGGTCAGGGGGCGTAGTCATTGGTCAGAGGGCGGAGTTTCAGAAACTTCCACAGCAACCCGATCCGACATTTTATTTTTAACCCGCCATTAGAAACAACTCGAATCCGGAGGAGCGTATTTTGGAGTATTTTGAAGGTATAAACAACAATAACGTCAAAACCATGGTCAAATGCTGCAATTCAGACGTTTTTGTGTTTGCTGGCCGACAAAAAAATTCAGAGCGAGCTAGATGGAGCGACACGTAACGAGAAGGTTTTTAAAGAGGTGTTGGTGCATTGATAATACTGATCTGCTCTCTAAAGGGGCACTAATGGGCACTATGGAAACGGAAAATGAAGCCATCCGACCTGTACCGGTCCAATAAGGGCCAATAAGGGTCGAGCCGAGCGAGATCTATGGATAAAGAGCATATGTGACTGCGCTGCCTGTGGGACTGAATTTGTTGTGACTCCTCGGAGTGAAGAAGTCCTTTGGATGAAGGATGAAACGTCTCAAGTAAATAAGAAACCGTCCAGATGACCTGACTGAACTTTGTTGGATATTTTACATGGATTATTGAGCATGAAGTTTGACAACTACAAATACTGTAATTATTTTTGTTTATGCTCCTATTTAAGATCACATTAGGTGTCTCCTTTTGATCTATCTGTGCAGCAGGAGTTTAAAAAAAAAATCCTATTTTCATTCCTAAAATTAGTCCAAACCATTTCTCCTTCTCAGTATTGGACACAAAAAGTCAAGGAGTTTGCTGTCTCTGTCTCGCCTGAGGTACTGAAGCTGCTGCCAGGTGTGGCACATCTGTCAGTGGCATGTATATATCATTTTACAACAATATTTGTATTAGCATCAGTATTTCAACATTTACAGTATTTACACAGAAAAGGCCTGGAGCAACAACTGTAATTTTGACTTAATTGAAACGCTCAATATGTCCACTGTTGCCAGCCAGAGTGTTTTCTCTGGAGTCGCCTGGGCAGCTGATTTAGGAAGCATCAGAGCCAGCCACCGCCTGAGGAACAAGCCAGAAAGGAAGAATTATTTTTGGACTGTTGTCTACCAAAGTCTGGCTACA